TCGACCTTTCGGGTGCTTTACAGTACCCATAGTCACAGGGGGGACAGAGGTGTCATAGTCAGCTCGACTACCTCTCGTTTTTGAATTTTTTTTAACAGCACCAGAGCCACACGGCTGCTTTGCTGTTGCACGTAAACGTGCAGCCGGCTCAAACCGGGGTGGTACCACGATTTCACAGAATACCGGCATGGAAGCTCTGCGTCCGCGTTTCGTCTGGTGAGTGTAGGTGGCTGGAGGCCCAATCCCCCCATCCCTTAACATGTTAGCGGAATTAACTGAAGATCTACCCCAGGAGGGTACCAGCACTCCTGGACACCCCACCTTGAGCATCCACGATCAAGTTACTCCACACCTGAGCGTGGGTACTCAGGTTGACCCACGCATTCTGGGGGGGGGTCAAAATTCCGCTCAGGACAACAAATGCTCGGGGCAAGCTGAGTAACAATACCAAGGCGACTCCTACTACGCTATCCGTGAATTTCTGCAATATAAGGGGACTTATCTAAACTTATAAGGGGACTAATCTAAACGCTGTCCACTACCAATTAGAGACGGCGAGGCCGGCTCTGCTCATTCTGACTGAGACGCAGGTGTCTTCCCTGGCTGATGATTCGTATCTCTCCTACCCGGGGTACAATCTGGAACACTCCTTTGTGCCTCGGGTTGAAGTTTGCGTATAAGTCGGAGAGCACATCTGTGATTGTATTATTGTGGTTGTTGTCATTGTATTCTGCAGGTTGCCGCCGTGTTTGGCACTATAGGTCAACTGGTTGGGATAGGATGCGGTCTTTCTTTGCATCCTACTGGGCGGGTTTGCTTCTCGCCGGACGATCCCAATGTTGTTGCTAATTCTGTCGCTGATGTGGTACTTCAGAGAATGTAACTTTTTATTCCTTCCTCTGTGGTGCCCATCTGAGGCAAATCTCAGCTATGTTTTGGTCGCTCCCATAAAATAGTATCATGCTATAAGCAGGAGTGCTACCAAGCCTGATCAGACGCATCAATGTCCCTGGATGTAAACACCAACGCCCTAAAAAGAAGTATAATTCCGCTTCCAGGTCCTTCAAAAGAGTCATTGCCAAAGCAAAGTCAGAACACATAGGCAGAATTGGCGAAAAACTAGTTCGTCTTCCTTCTGGAACCCGTGCATTCTAGTCTCTCGCCAAGGCTGTCCAGGGGAATTTCTGCTAGCCATCTCTTTCATCTCTGCACAGGAAGGACGACTCACTCACCCATACCGCAAAGGAGAAATTCTAGTCTCTTTATTTGCATTCAACTCGACTCTCGATAACGGGGGGAGTACGCCGCCGACCATCCCGCGGTGTGAGTGCTGCCAGAAATGCGGTTCATACAGCGCTCGGTTCGCAAATTACTCCTCTCCCTGGACATCCACAAGTCGAGTGCGCCTGACGGTATCCCCCCATTTGTGCTGAGGACATGTGCTCTAGAATTCGCACCGGTCTTAACGCGACTTATCCGGTACTTCTACTTTCTAGGTATAGTCTCAAAATAATGGAAGGCGGCTTTCGTCCACCGATCCCTAAAAAAGGCGACCACTCAGACCAGTTCAACTACAGGCCCATCGCCATCACCTCCTTGTTCAGTAAAACAATGGAGTCCATTGTAAACTGCCAGCTCATGAGATACCTTGAGGATCACCAGCTGATTAGTGATCGTGGTCATATAGCTGGTGATCTTCTGGTCTACCTGACTCATAGATGGACGGTGGCGGTAGAGTCCAAGGGGGAGGCATTGGCCATTAGTTTAGACATTGCGAAGGCCTTCGATCGGGTTTGACACAAAGCGCTTCTTTCGAAGCTCGCTTTCTATGGGCTTCCTGAGAAATTGTTCAATATGATCACCGGCTTTCTTGCTGATCGAAGCATCAGGGTCATAGTAGTCGGTTTATGTTTCGATTACAAGCCCATTAACGCTGGTGTTCCACAAGGCTGCGTGCTATAACCAACGCTGTTTCTTCTGCATATCAATGATATGTTGCAAATCCGTAACATTCATTGCTATGCAGATGACGGCACTAGTGATGCTCTGTACACCGGCCGTGCAGATATTTCTCGGAAAATCGTCTCCGAGTACTGGGACAAACTTGTGTCTGATGTAGAGTCTTCTGAACAAAATATCGGATTGGGGCAACTAAATCTAGTCCAGTATAACCCGCAAAAGACACAAGTTTGCGCGTTAACCGCTAAGAAGAACACCTTAGTCGATTCTCCTCAATTTTAAGGCGCTCCCCTTGTTGCCTGAGCCAGCATCGGAATCCTCGGCGTCGACATATCGAGTGACGTACAGTTTCGTGGTCGCTTGGAAGCGAAGACCAAATTGGCCTCTTAAAAGCTTGGCGTGCTCAGAAGAGCGGGACAGTATTTCATGCCGGCACACCGCCTGCAACTTAACAAGGTGCAGGTTCGGTTGCACATGGAATACTGTTCCCATCTCTAGGCTGGGGCTCCCCAGTCCTCTTTCCACTTGACTGCATCCAGAGCAGAACGTCTCGAATTGGCCTCTTTAAAAGCTTGGCATGCTCAGCAGAGCGGGGCAGTATTTCATGCCAGCACACTTCCTGCAGCTTTACGAGGTACAGGTTCGGCCTCACATGGAATACTGTTCCCATCTCTGGACTGGGGCTCCCCAGTGCCAGCTCCTTCCACTTGACCGCATCCAGCGCAGAGCGGCTCGAATCGTCGACGAACGAGTTCTTTCCGATCTGCTCAATTCACTGGCGCTGCGTAGAAATGTTGCATCCCTTTGTATTTTCTATCGCATCTACCACGGGGAGTGCTCTAAGGAAGTGTTCGGATTAATCCCGACGCCAAATTTCATGAACGCACGTGGCCGCAAAATTCAAGATACCTTTCTCACAATCTGAATGCTTGGCGATCCACTACTGTGCGTTTTACTAGGAGTTTTTTTTACTCGTACAACTTCTCTGTGGAATTGTTTAGTACCGGTGATTTTTCCGGATCGATACTGCTTTGGGACCTAAAAGAAAAAACTTACTCTTTTTTAAATGACCGGCAATTCACCTGCAATTCCCTTGGTGTTTCGGTTGTTCATGGGCGGTGGTAGTCACTTACCGCATTTTCATTTGCCCTCAATTCTATTATAAAAAATCATTTTGCTCAAATTTTAGCATTGTTACGTATTGTATAGAAAAGTGCTTTTCCTCTACTCATTTTTTAACCACTTTTATTGCAAACAATTTTCCTTTTACTCTTCATTGTCCAGTTCGACAACTGTGCTTTCTAAACTTCTTCTGACTTAATTACGTTTAGCGGTAATGGTGCATGATGATGGACGTACATTAGTTTAATAGACTTAATGTCTGTATTATGTAGTAACTATATATCTGTAGTAGACTTAATGTCGTGAAATATATGACATACGCCAATCAGTTCAATGAAAATGTGGTTAAAACATGGGTAGTTACTTATTTAACGTACTTAAAAAAGAGGAGGTACTCAATTCGACTGTATGTTTTATGTATGTCACATCAGAACTTTTTTCTAGGTGAACCGATATTGATGATTATTAATTTTATTTAAAAGGTGGTAAACTCCTGTGGTGCCGTATAAATTTGATTAAGATCCCCAAACCCTTATCTTCACTTCAACATACACCTTTGCAGGCTTCACATCAAATATCATCTCAAAAATATAGCGAGCATATAAATAGTACTACACCAGATAATTTTATTTCTTTGCAAAGAGGCACGCCTTCCCAAATAACTTAAATCAACCGTCGTCGATAACAAAAATCAACCGTCTAAAATAACTACTTCTACTTCCAACAAATGCATATTACATATGCCAAATGATTTTAATACCACACCATCTCCAACACATTGTCAAAATAAAAACAATAACATAGTTTCAGTCTTTTCTCAATTTAAACCTTAATTTTTAAACTAAGGTTTGACGGAGGCTCCTAATACGATTAAGGGAAAGTTGTTGCAATCATTTTTTTGTCATTTACAAAAAAATTTATAATCGTATTGAGAACCGCGGTCGAAAAACAATTTTAACATTACAATAACTTTGTTTATACCAAAATAATTATTGCTAAGATCAAAGTGTGACCTAAATATATTGAAATGTAGTTTTTATTTTTTTACTTCACCTTCATATAGTCCTGTAAAACATAAGTAATTGCCCAACATAATTGCTTCAGAAATAGCAGCTGGTGACATGATTACTTAAAAATTCATATCTTTAATACTTCTACCACTGACTGCCCCGTTGGTCTAGCGATTGTAGTAGTGTGACTGTTGATCATGAGGTTCTGGGTTCGAATCACAGGTCGGGCCAAAAAAATCAATTTTTGATGTTTTCCGGCAAAAAAATCTTAGCTGCCTGGAGTCAGGAATTTGGCGGTATTTTACCCCTGTGCCTCGAAAAGCACGTAAATCCATTGTTCCTGTGCCTGATCTCTCTCCGGTAGTGTTGGTTTACTGTCCCATCGAATTATGAGAGTGAGGGAAGGGTGCACCTGTGCTTGCGCATACACTTCGGCACTATAATCCCGTCCTGCGCCGATGGCTAGCCTCCGTTAAGGTGGGTCGCCGTGACTGAAATTCAGTCTGAAGGATATTATTATTATATTAAAATTTTATAGTAAATCACTTAACCAAAACACTAGAAAACCCCAAAAATCAACACAATAACATTCACACGAAAATGGCGTACGAAATGAACGTAGATTATAAATAAATATCCATAGACTACCTATATTTTTATTTCATTAGAGGATAGAAAATTTCATATTGATTCTATAATGCTAAACTTCTTCAGATAAAAGTAGTCTCTAAACATAAGTATTTATGGGTTAAAATGTTGTGGGTGTGTGCGGTCAAATTTGACCTCTAAATTTTAACGGAATATCGAAGCGGCCAAATTTGGACGCTTGGTATTTGAGAAGTTAATGAACCACTTCCTTAATTACTATCATCACGAACTCCAGAGACCGAAAATCAAAGCTCGTTTAAAATGTTTAAGCTCTGGTTCTACGGTAGGTTCAAATAAAACGTTATACAAACGCACCCATTTAAATCAGTACTACATATTATACAATACACTACATAAATACTACATATAATACATATTGTACAATATGTTTGTGCAAATTTTGTTCCGTTTATTTCAATTGTGTAAAAGTTTTTTTTCTCAATTGGAATATTTTGTTTGAAAAAAAAAACATACAGTTATGCAGTCTGAAAGTAGCCGTAGTGTCATAATAGCCTGTTAATCCCAAATTGTCCTGACTAAGCTATTGACATTAGTTTATTTATAAACATATTATTTGTAAGTATCCATAGTATTGTTGATCACGAATTGTTCAGGCTGCGCTTTTGATATTATATAACTCAAAACATGTATGAAGTTTAACGTTAAAGAAGAGTCTGGCAGGTCTCTGTCACTCTTGCTGCCTGCGTGAAATAATAACCTACAATCGCGAGATGATCTCAGCCAAATACGCATTTGAGGCCATCGCATATTATATCAGATTGAATGTTAAGGTGATTTGGGTGCCAAAAGTAGATTTTTTATGTTTTAAAAGTGCAATTTGTGTCATTAAAAATTACGAATTCATATTTATTTTATATCCATTTAAAAGTCAAAGATTTTTTTAGTGAATTATGGTGGCCAAAACACGATTGACACATTTTGGCTCGATAAGAAAAGATCGCAAAGTTATCTCAAAATTTACAATTGTAGGAACGTCCACTAAGTAAAAAAGCAGTTTCATTAGAATGTAATTAAATCAATTTCAATTAAATTCGGGCTATGTGTTCACCAGTAAATACGTGTGTGAATTATGGGTTTATTTTTCAATAAAAAAGTATATATAGTTAAAAAAAAGAACTACCAAATAAATATTGTGCGATTAAATAGCTGAGCGAGTGGGCTGACCAAACAGTTCATATAAAGCGTGAAAAATCTGCTTTGGCGCCCACTTCATCTTAAAGTTTATTAACGCTAATAGTTTTTTGTTAATACTTGTTGAATAAGTTTTTGTTTAGTTTTTAGTATATTTAATTGTAGGATAATATTTGAAAAGTTTCAATGTAATTTCAAAATTAAATGTATTATGTTTATCAGATATTTGATAAATTATATAATTGTTCATGCGACATGGATGCTAAATGACCAACAAAAGCTTTCAGATATACCATTCTTTAAGTTACTAAAGGATTTTAGTAGAAAGTAATGAAAGGTGAATTTATTTCATAATTTATTTGTAAACACAATAAGTGCACGTAAGTAACTTAATTACCATTTCACAATGTATTTCTTTACTCTTTATTGACAGCCCTTAGTAACCACGGAAAGTCTGCCATGACGTAGAAAAGATGAAAAGTAATACACACATTCACGCGCAGCGATTAAGTTTTATTAGCTTGCGTGCGCGATTTTCTAATTAATAGTAATTATGTAGGCTATTAAACGTCGACAAGCAGTCAACATCAAAGGAGTGCAACTTCTGTACTTAGTAGATATTATTTATTCTGTGACGTTGGCTCCACTGTATAATCATAGTTACTGCTGGTCAAACTCTAGTCTTGCATATAGTAAACATACTTGTTTTGACCAACATGTAAAAGCCGTTGCACTTAGATTTATATTAATTGCAGTGCTCATCTTAGTTATGTAATTATTTAGTTAAGGACATCAGTATTACACTGAATTAGTCTTAATTCGTTATTATAATGAAAAAGATAATTAATGTCATTGAGACATATTTGTTGCCTATAAAAAACGACTGCACCGCCCCCGAAACTTAACTATGTAGAATAAGTCTGTAAGTGTTTTACTTATAAAAGTATTTTTTTTTAATTTTCACTTTGTTATATTGTTTAAAGTACACATAAGAAAATAATAGGATTAGCAGCACGTTTTTTTTTAGGTATACATTAAATTGACATTGATTAAATTCGTATAACTTTGTTACAATAGATATATATTTACATTGTCCAAAATGCAAACGCAAATCTTAAGTAGAATTCGTCGAGAAATTTATATTATCCTCCTTTTATATCTTGACATTAAAAGAATTTTCTTCGTTTTTTTTTTGCTGTGCTTAGCGGTTTTGCAGTTTAAGCAATCAGCTCCTTGCATATTAATCTACCATCGTTATCATCGTATATCATCGTTATAATCGTATACCATCTTAATAGGATTGTGGATTAGTGAGTAAAAACTATATAATGATAACAAATTAAATGTATTTAAGATTTTTAAAAAACAATTAAAACTATTTTTACGTATTGTTATATCGATAACTATTGCTGATTTTACTATTCCCTAAAATTCATGATATTCAGGGTGATTACATTAGTAATCAGAATATTTGCCTGTGCAAAAATCAGCAGTACATCTATTGCTAATTGCTATATTCCGGTATAAAGAGTAAAATACAGTATAACGTGACGTGAGACATTTTAAGTTAGTCCTTAACAATGTCAATCAATATTTCTGTCTATGCACTTAAGAGGATAATCGAGAGATTTTAGTCCATAAAACATATTCTCTCTAGATATAGTTTGTCTCAGTAGTTAAAGTCACTAGAGTCGTGAGGTGGTGGTGTAATATAATCTACAACCACACAATACTATCTCTTGAATTTCATAAAAGATGAGAGAAATCAAACAGGAGGTGGGCAGCAGCATGTTTCTAATAATAACTCAAAATAATAAAAAAATACGTGTGGCACTCGGTGACTGCCGCGGTAAAGCTATTGCATAGCATTTTTTATCAACTTATGCAATTATAATTATTTATTTATTTTATTTATGCAGTTAAGTCTTTGATATTAAATCAAGTTACACTTTTTGAGCGTGGTGACCGATAAGAAAACAATTTTTTTTCTCTTATTGAATAAATGAGAAGTTATTATTGTTTAAAATATTTTTAATATCTAACAATACATGTAGGTTATTCAGGAATTTTTATCATTGAGTTAGCAGCTAGTGTACACGCATACGTCTAGTCGCACGCACACAAGCACCGTGCCGAAGTCTGCCGAGTGCGGAAGTCTGCCGAACTGAAACGATGTTAGACGATGCACGGCTTTCAACGCCACACCTCCGTGCCCGTCGGAGTGGGGAGCGTGAGGTTTTTTTTCGTTACGGAATTTCTGGATTCGGTCCCCGCGCTCAAGGCCCGCGATAGAAGCTATGCAATAGCTTAACTAGGGTTGTAAACCCGCCTGATGAACGTGTTAACTATCGCAAATATTCCCCTAATCAAAGGCAATCTATGAGTATTTTCAGCTTTGGACTTTTGTAAAAACACAGGAGCAAATATTTTTACGATGCAGCAGTAGGTGGTAGACCCCTCTACCACAACCACTACCATATTCCTACGTTCTTAAGCATTTATACCGCGGTTATAAAACATTCAGTGTACAAAATTAATGTATTGTAATTAACTTAAAAAAATGTACATATATCATTAGGTACAAAACTTTTAATATTTTTCGTGAAAAAATATCAATACAGTTTTGAAACAGGAAACGAAAGAAATATAAGACGAAGACTTCGTAAATTTTAATAGGTACAATCCAGTCAGAGCAGCAGATGTTTGTTTTTGTTACTTAGTCCGGTCCTTCACACATGTTAACACTGAATAACAGCCAAAGATCTTTAAAAGCCTACTTAAAAAAACTTGCAGTCCATACAAAACTCTTAAGTAACTAATTACGTTTATACGGACCGTCAACGTTTTACTCCAATATTATAAATAAAATTAAGCTTCTTTTCCAAGGTTTATTTGACTCTTCAAAATTTTATTAATAAAATGAGTGAAATTTATTTATAAATAAACTCACGCCTGAAATTACCTAACAACGAAAAGGTTAACGAGTTGAATTACAAAGAAGCGTTACCTCATCAAAGCCCTTTTAAAATGTTGCGCTACGGTTCTACAGTGGCGTTAAAACAAATAATGTTCAAAACGCTTTCATTTCCAGAAATACATAATAAATGTTATGTTTAACTGTTACCAGAATAGTAGTGTAAGTAACCTGTTAGTTAAATGACAGACCTACGTACAGTAATTTTCTTTTGTAGCGAATAATATTTAGGAGACTTAGTTATTTAACTTTATATGCAGTTAGTTTTTCATAAGAAAGACTTAAAAAATGAGACAACTTCTAATATTGTGTTTCTTTTTATTGAAGGTTTGTAAGAGTAACAATGAGTACCTACTCTGTACAACTAATACTAAGTGGATACTATACATACTTATACCTATATAATCAATTAAAAAGAACAAATAAGATGCGTTGTCACCCCCATCGACCATAAAGAATGTCTTGTAATCAATATAAAGGAGTTTATCCATCGAAAACGCTGTATTAATATCCCTAAAAGTTATAATGAGAAGCTTCATCCTTACAGTATAGTAAGCATTGCACGAATGGTTCAAATAAACAAAATAGATTAATGCGTTTTTGTGATATTTTTTTAATACGATGATTCAAAATTAGTATTACGAATGTTTGAAAGAATTTTGCAATTCTAGATGACAATATCCTTTTTATTAAAAGAAAACTTATGTTTCAAAAATTCCATATTAATACAGGCGCGCACAGAGTAATGAAACCGCAGAGAAGACAAGTGGGAAATGTATCCAATACCGCGAACTCGACAGTGGTGGCGGAGAGTAAGAGTAAGCCGAGCGTTATTCAGAGTAGCCCGGTAAGCGACTTAATACATATAAGGGGGAGTATAATTAAGAATAAATAAGAATAATTTAGAAAAATAAAAAAATTAAATAAATCCTGTTGTATGGAGGTCACACTATGCCACGCACATATTAAGAAAAGAACGGGTCCAAAAACGCTTTTTATGGCATTTATCTCACATCTCCAAAGTATCAAAGAAAAAGTTATCCTATCATGAAAACCTCAAACACTTTAAAATGTCCTCGTTGAATAAAAGAAGGACCCTTTTGGACCTAATATTCATTTATAAAAATTTTAATAATCAAATTGACTGCCCTCAGCTTCTAAACCTATTTAATTTCAGGATCCCCTTCAGGGTTCCAAGGAAACCCGTTTCTCTATTTTATCCGCCATTCCGGAGGACTGTGTTAGGAAAACATTCACCAGTTCCTCGTCTGTGTAACGCATTAAATACTAGGATGTTTTCTCTCTTAAACTTAACCAGTTTCGTGCACATTTGTTTAAAAAAATCCCAGATTAATTACACCTATCTTTTACCTGTTATAACTAGTTTAAAATTAACCTTATATCAATGTAAAAGGTACTTATGTCACATGTTAAAATAGCACGCTGTGTTTATAACTGATTCTGCATTTAGCTCATAATAGTTTATTACAATGTAACTACTTTAAGTTTCTGTAATGTAACAGTCGTTGGTAGACCAAATAAATAAATAAATAAATTTATATAAAGTTTGTTTTGTTGGTTATTAGTAATGTTTATACCGTCGTGTTATTTCATTAACTCCATCTTAGTCCTAAGGGATGACAACGCATCTGTATTTTGATTGTTAATTGAAGAAAGACGTAAATGTCACTCAACAATAGGTGATCTGTGTGCTCGTTTGTCATCATCATCATCATCATCATCATCACAGCCCTTCACAAGTCCACTGCTGAACATAGGCCTCCCCCAAGTAATGCCGCAAAGCACGGTCCTGAGCCACCTGCATCCATCGACTTCCTGCATACCTTACCAGGTCGTCACTCCATCTAGTGGGGGGTCGCCCTACACTACGCCTACCGGTACGAGGCTGCCACTCGAGAACCTTTCTTCCCCATCGGTTATCGGTTCTTCGAGCTATATGGCTTGTCATTATATTTCTGTAAAAAAAAGTATTCGTCCGTACGCTTGCCAAAAGCAATAGAAATATATCAATACCTAAATAAAAAACAAAATGTACAAATAATTTATGCTATTAGCTTTTTCATTTTCATTATTTTGTAAAGAAACCCCAACAGCATATCTTGCGTCAAGTACTCAGTCAGCAGCCGGTTATGGTTGGCAACACTAAAATAGGTGACAAGGAGATGGTAGTCAATCATCCTGTTACAGAGGTGAGGCTATTAAAGTCTCAGTTTGTGATTTTTCTTAATTGTAGTTGTCAGGTTTGAAAAGAACTCTTCGACACTTTTTTGTTTTTCTGTTTTCTAGTTAAACATTCTTGAAACTTCGAAATATTGATAATAAAAGAATGAGATCCAAAAATTTGTTTGAAGCGTCAAATATTGCAGTACATTTAGTGAGAGAGATTAGTTAAGATGTCTCTCCAGTCATGTTGGATTTCTGGAGATCATTATTTTGAGCCTTAAACATCATTGCAGAAGCCGCCAACTCCGAAGCCACCACTGATACCACCACCGGCTCCAACGCCTTCCTCTTTCTCAGCAGATGACACTCCTTGGATATGTCACTGGAAAGGATGTGGAAAGTAAGTGATCTTATAGTTTGATTTATTACATTTTGAATATATTATAAATAAAACTTATAAATAACGAGCCGCAGTTACCACGTGAGCGGTGTGGTGGACTATTCTTCTCCATCAACCTTTCAGTAAGCCTGTGCTCAGTAGATTTAACCTGGTTTATCTTCTCGTTGTATATATTTTTCCGTAAATATAACTGTGCACTTGCGTAGAATGCATTTCGCCTTACCTCGTCCTTGCAACTTCCACTCGTCACTACGGTCGTTCGTTCGCTACTATCGTATGAGCGGATACCTAAATATATTACACGTATTCTCGTTAAATGGTTAAACGAAAGTCTACCTGCTCCCTGATAAATGTGATACTAGAACAAATATTTTGTAATCTATGTCTACCAGTATGTGTTCCTTTGTTTTTTCTTTACTATTGAACATTTTTTATATATAATAGGAACCTTCTGAAATTGATTAAATTACCCAGTTATACCATCGTCAGGGTATTCAGTATTGATTATAACTGGAAAGTGATTAAAACCCATAGGATTATTTGGCATCTCCCATAATCGCCTTTACGACGCCCACCTGACGATATGCGACGACGAATTTTCTTACGCACATGTACAGCTGCAGTACGAATATGTTGGCTCCGACCGGATATGACAACGCTCTGAAAGAATACTATCATAATTTGATTGTACGGAATTAGTGACCCATTTTTACTGGTAACGATACATTCTATCTAACTCTTCAGAGATGAAAACATATCAGCATTTTGGTTCGTATTCCGGGATAGATGTAAATGACTATGGGGTACACAAAATTACTATAAGGCTGAGTGAGTATTTTTTTTTACTCACATAGTTAAATTAAAATATACTAAGCATATAATTTTATTATATTTGAAACAATTTTCCTCCCATAGTTCATTATCGAGCGCGTCAGAGGTGTTCACGCACGTCGCTCGAGTGCACTGCTCCACAGCGGCCGGCTGTTCATATTTATGATCATAACTACAGCCTATCACAAGTCCACCGTTGAATAAAGTATCTGCTATAAACATGGTCCTGAGTCAATTTGATCATTCCATCCTGAGTGTGTGTAAAAAGTAAAAAAAATAAAGATACAGCCTATATACGTCCCACAGCTGGGCACAGGCCTCCTCTCATTTCTGAGAGGGATTTAGGGCAAGGAATAGGCCGCCGCGCTGCCCCAATGCGTGTTGGCGAACTTCACATGTCTTCGAAATATTTTTTTCTTATTTCTCAGACATGCAGGTTTCCTCACGATGTTTTCCTTCACCGACGAGCACGTGGTAAATCAGCACTTAACAATTGCAATTAACAATTTTATTGGTGCCGGCGGGGAGTGTGTGTACGGAGGAGGAACTTAATGTCCGTTTTTAGGGTAATATGACTAGCTAAAAACTAAGTCAGAACTCTAAAGATAATGTCAGATAACCTTCGGCAGATCGCGGTAAATCTAAATGAAATCTAATAAAATACCAATAACATGGTAACAAAGTAGGCGTTCTTTTCCGCATAGAATTATGTTTAGGTTCAAACCTTTTCAAGTAATTTTTTTTAACTATTCCTGCCGCATAGTAGCAGTATATTTAACTATTTTAAATTAATAGAACATAAAAGTTTCAAAGTATGTATTTATATAACATATCTGGTGGACTGTATTAGTCCACCTGACGGTAAATGGATACAGCTCGTTTGCCATTTTAATGTTTCATTAAAGTACTTGTACTGCATTAACTTCATTTCTTTTTTTATGAAGCTCATATTTCACAACAGTAGGTATGTAAAAAGAAGTATCACATACTTTTTGTGCTGGCACTAAAAGCGATCTCCAACTCACGTCGACACGCAGCCGCAGAAGCGGAGGCGAGTAAGCCCGTATCGTTGGAGTACCCGCCAAACGCCGCGCTCGCAGCATTGGTCAAACACGCAGACATGTTCAACTCGAGAGGGCTCATGGTAAGTCCACTTGAAGACAATTCATGTTTATTATTTTAAATTTTTTCAAGGATCTTTATAATATTAAATTATCGATTGTTTCAACGTCACCCAGGTGTATATAGTCAAATAAGGTTGCCACCTACGACGACTCGACCTGGCAACATATAACGCACGCACCCTGAGGACTGACGAGAAGATACTAGAGCTGGAAGAAGAGATAGACAAGTTGCGCTGGCATATTATTGGATTATCCGAGGTCCGAAGAGAGGGGGAGGACACGGCAATCCTCGAGTCCGGCAACTTGTTCTATCACCGGGAGGGCGACCATCTGTCCCAAGGAGGTGTCGGATTTATCGTCCACAAGTCTCTCGTCAACAACGTTGTAAAGATTGGGAGTGTGTCGACGAGGGTCGCGTACCTGATACTCAGAATCACCAAACGGTATTCGCTGAAGGTCATTCAGGTTTACGCACCAACCTCGGCACATCCCGATGAGGAGGTGGAGGAAATGTATGAGGATATTTCCAGAGCCATACATTCCTCCAAAACCCACTACACGGTGTTGATGGGAGACTTCAACGCAAAACTGGGCACAAGAGAAAGCGGTGAGCTGAAGGTAGGGAAATTTGGAGTAGGGCAACGGAACCGAAGGGGCCAGCAGCTGGCCGACTTTATGGAGAAAGAGGGACTCTTTATGATGAACTCTTTCTTCCAGAAGCGGCCCCACAGGAAGTGGACCTGGTCGAGCCCCGACGGTTCGACAAAAAATGAGATTGACTTCATTATGACGACCAGACGCCAACTGTTCAGTGATGTCTCAGTGATCGCAAGGGTGAAAACTGGCAGCGATCACCGAATGGTTAGAGGCACACTGAACCTAAACGTTAAGTTGGAGAGGTCTCGTCTAATGAAGTCAACGCTCCGTCCCCCCTCGTGCTCTAACCCAGAATCCCGAAACCTTTCAGCTCGAGTTACGTAACCGCTTCCAGTGCCTAGAAGATTGCAATGCAGTGGACGATATGAACGACAAGCTCGTGGAAACTGTCCATGCGGTCGGAGCTAAGTTCTGCAAGACCCGCCGCAGAAGAACACAAAAACTCTCCGATCACACTCTTAATCTCATGGCTGTTAGACGGGAGATGAGGCTGCAATCGTCAACAGATTTGACAGCATACAGGCAACTGAACAGACAGATCTCCAAATGCATGCGGCGAGACTTACGCAACTTTAATACTTCTCGTATTAAAGAAGCGATCGAGCGGAACCAGGGCTCCAAAGTCTTCGTCAGAGATCTGTCTGCCAGAAAGAGCCAACTGTCAAAGCTGAAGACTGAGTGTGGCAACATCGTTTCCGGGACACCTGAGATTTTGAGTGAGATTGAGAGGTTCTATGGGCAGCTATACATATCATCGTTGGAGCCACACGTAAGTGTGAGTAACGATCCAAGAGCAAGTCTTATCCGACACTATTCCGATGATATCCCGGACGTCAGTCTGAGCGAGATTAGAATGGCACTCCACCACCTTAAAAACGGCAAGGCCCCGGGCGAGGATGGAATTACAGCGGAGCTTCTGAAAGCGGGTGGAAAACCGGTACTTGAAGTCCTTCGGAAGCTCTTCAATTCCGTCCTCCATGGTGGCACTACTCCGGAGGCGTGGAGCAGAAGCGCGGTGGTTTTGTTCTTTAAGAAAGGCGACAACGCTCTCTTGAAGAACTACAGCCCGATTTCCCTTCTGAGCCGCGTCTACATGCTATTTTCGAGAGTCATTACGAATCGTCTCGCACGCAGACTCGACGACTTCCAGCCTCCCGAACAAGCCGGTTTCCGAAAAGGCTTCAGTACCATAGACCACATACATACCCTGCGGCAGATTGTACAGAAGACCGAAGAGTACAATCTGCCACTTTGCCTGGCATATGTGGACTATGAGAAAGCCTTTGAATTCCGTCGAAATTTGGGCGGTGCTACAGTCCCTTCAGCGGTGCCAAGTTGACTGTCGGTACATCGAAGTGCTGAAGTGTTTGTACAGTAGGGCTACGATGGCTATCCGAGTACAGAACCAGAGTTCGAAACCTATCCAACTGCAGAGAGGTGTAAGACAGGGTGATGTTATATCCCCGAAACTCTTCACCGCTGCGTTGGAAGACGTTTTCAAGCTACTGGACTGGAAAGGATACGGTATTAACATCAATGGCGAGTACATCACTCACCTTCGATTTGCCGACGATATAGTCATTATGGCAGAATCGCTGGAGGATTTAAGCATTATGCTCAATGACCTCAATAGTGCCTCCCAACGGATAGGTCTTAAGATGAACATGGACAAAACAAAGATCATGTTTAATGTCCATGTCACACCTATGCCGGTAGTTGTTGGGAGCACTATGCTCGAAGTTGTTGACGAGTACGTTTACCTGGGACAAATAGTCCGACTAGGTAAGTCCAACTTCGACCGAGAGGTCAATCGACGGATTCAACTCGGCTGGGCAGCGTTCGGGAAATTACGACATATCTTTTCGTCAGGTATACCTCAATCTCTAAAAACTAAATTGTACAACCAGTGCGTGTTGCCAGTGATGACTTACGGATCTGAGACGTGGTCCTTCACTGCTGGCCGTATGAGGACGCTTAAGGTCGCTCAGCGGGCTATGGAGAGGGCTATGCTTGGAGTTTCTCTGCGTGATAGACTCAGAAATGAGGATATCCGCAGTAAAACTCAGAGTGATCGACATAGCCCAACGGATTAGTAAGCTGAAGTGGCAATGGGCCGGCCATATAGCTCGAAGAACCGATAACCGATGGGGAAGAAAGGTTCTCGAGTGGCAGCCTCGTACCGGTAGGCGTAGTGTAGGGCGACCCCCCACTAGATGGAGTGACGACCTGGTAAGACATGCAGGAAGTCGATGGATGCAGGTGGCTCAGGACCGTGCTTTGTGGCATTACTTGGGGGAGGCCTATGTTCAGCAGTGGACTTGTGAAGGGCTGTAATGATGATGATGATGATGATGATTATATTTTTAAATATTTGTAATCTGATTTCACCTAAAATGAATGAAAAGGGCAATATATAACAAATCAACTACTTCTGATATCATAAAAGCTGAACAACGTTGATTTATTGCTCTTCCATTTCCTAGCAGGAAGCAATAACTCCCGTTTCGTTTCCTCAGTAGAACGTGCAAATAATTATGGTTATTATACGCTGGATCTAAAACAATATATAATTGACTCGTACGTGTTGGAGCACTCGAGGTTTCCCTTATTTAGATCACGTCTATTTAAGACGTAAAAGTCTCAGTTATATTTTAACTAATTAAAAAAAGGAGTTTCTCAATTCAGGTGTATTTTCCTTTTTATATAGCTAAATTTTTATATCACTACCTCATAAATAATCACACCACGATTACAGTCGGTTTATATTTTACTAAAATAATTTAATTGTCATAAAAAATATATTGTTTGACATACATTTGTTTGATTTGACTGCAGTTATTTATGGTCACTTCAGTTAAAAGAAAAACTATTTTCCATGGCTCTTGTAAAATTTCTTGTATAAATTATTTTATAATAACTACCGCAAAAGTATTTCACAAGTTTTTTTATTCATTTATTTACACAATGACCCTTACGTGTGTAAGCTCGAGGTCAGGTAATCTTGATATGGCTTCAGTACACCCTCGTATTTGTAAAACTATTTCTGCTGAAGTCACATACATTCATCAAAACCCATTCGAGTGTTCGAATTGCCAATGACGCAAATGACATATCAGTATTTCAAATGCGCGTTCATCAAAAATTATTAAAGAAATTTATTATAAATATTTACCCATAAATTTATCCTAAAATTCTTTATAGTTGAGCGATAACAGAAACAACATAACACAAAGAGTAGATTTACTAGTGTAAGTAAATGTCGGTCTTACTTAAAACAATCCATGATTGCTGCTCAAAGTTGATCTTTCTATCTACACGAAATTAATGATAGTAGAAGGAAACAAGTACAGCGGTAGTTAAATAAGCGATAGTCAAAGATTATGACTTAGTTACCAAGATTCAAATAGTGTTTCGTACTTTACGTATAGAAAGAAATGAAAGGAAAATATAATTATACTTTAGTAAGGTTGAATTAATTACAATTTTTATTATATTTTTGTTAAGGAACATAAAAATACTACTAGAACTATCAATCGTATCCCGAACACTCACTGTATTCCACTGAACTGGACTGCAATCCGTACATCTTACTTAAGTGTCATTTAGTGTGGCTTCAATATTCATGCAGTGCGGAGCGGCGATAATAATATGAAAATTCAAATCAAAGTTTGAACTAGGACATAAAAATGAGGCCCTCACAAATCTAACTCCACATCCGTGCATGCTACACCTATGCTACGTGAGGGCCGAACATTGGACTTTTAATTAACCTAACCAATGGAGCTCTAGATAACTTCAATGATGGAGAGACAATTACTTAGTACTATTATAGGGCTGTGACACGAGGGTGAGCGTTGGGGCATGTCTGGAGCTGATGCTGCATGTGACAGCGTACGGGCCGTCAGTGGCTCTTTGCTGAGCAGGCGGGCGAGAGTCGGGGAACCCGAAAATAATACAGTCGATCAACGGAAAGAGACAAGACTTATGGATTTACCTACAAGCTCTGCCGGCTCATCTACAACGATCACAAATAATACAGAAAATGGTGATAGAAGAAGAAAGTGGTCAACAAAAAAACTTCAGGAATTAATGTTTTGTTACTTTAAAGAAAGATTAATAGGAGGAGGGTACATAGGCCGATTACAGGCTTTTCAAAGAAAGAAACTCGAATAAACCCAAAGTTCATAAGTTTGACGGAAACACTATCAAATCAAGCTCGAAAGATAATTGAGCTAAATGTACTATCACAAGAATTACTAAACCGAATACAAAAAGAAG